TATTCCTCATATTTTCCAGATCATGTCACTTTATGAGTGCTGCTCAGTTCTAACATATTCATTGTTGGTGAAGGTCTCTTTCATCAAATTGGGAACACTTTTATAGCAGATTCTCCACAGAATTTCCTTGTCTCTTTTGTAAAGGAATGAATTCTTGTGGTGTATTTTGGCGTAATTTGGAATGATTTCAAGGTAGTTTCAGCCAGTAAAATCCTTACACACATACTTCTCTCTCAGATGCACACATGAGTTACTGGTTTAGGCGTTTTGTCACACCTAAGCCTGATCAGGGTTTTCAGTCTGAAATTACCAAGTGTAGAATGGTGTTCTCAGTCAGGACTGTTGAAAGGGTATCATAAAACATAATTAACGATGTCAAAAAACTTAAGCAAGGATATGTTTAATAAGTCCTGTCCTGCAAGGTTTACTATTTGTAATCCTTAAGAATTGAAAGTATAATGGAGAGTTGTAAAATTATATTTATGTAGTGTTTCTCTATGAAACTTAAGAGAATCGGCTTGTAAAAGCACGAATAATGTGCTTTGGACACTTTTGCAATAGCGAGGAGCGTGGCTTTTCACTAGTCTTTGGAGGTTGTGTCTGCCTAAAAATCATAAACCACTGTAGAGCATCCGTGTCAGTCCTGGCTTCTTTCTCTGTTGCCCTTGCTCAGCGTTCCCTTGTCACGATCATGGTGCTGCACAGAGATCCAGCAGGAGGTTGATGCTAATGTAAGCATTTACCTGGGCCAAAAACGTTGCAGACGTCAATAATTCACAGCCCCAAGGTTTCCAACCTATAAACCTACTCTCCAAAGCACATTGCCACTCTACTTCAGGCAGGCCTTTGCTGGCAGCTCCATCATTCAGTTCTCCGTGGCTGGGATTATCCTGGCAGCAAGAAAGAGGGTTCTCATCCAATGGACTGCTGTCTCTAAGCTTACGAAAAGTACTCAATTTCCTTAGCACTTTACAGAATGGTTTTTCCTTTCAGTATTTGGAACAACAGCCTCTTTTTAAGATTTTACATGTTCAGGGAACCTGGCAAAGATTAACATCATCGTCCTATGTTTTTTCCTTGTACCCCCTTTTTCCCTTCTGCGGAAACACAGGATGAGGAGTTGCATCGCTTGTTCCTTTTACAGTGTGGCAGGGCTTTTAAAGAAAGGTAGGAAAACATGACAAAAGTATGGACTAGCAGCCCAAAAGTGGACAACAGAACAGTTTTATGTTTTACATGTCTTGTACAATACTTTTGAAATGCAGAATGGAGAACGAGGAGAATCATTCTGAAGTGAAAGCTGTGGCACGCTGATGGGGGAAAAAGGGCTTGTCAAGTGACAAGAAAACTCCTATTCTGTAAAAGGATAGCAGGAGTAAGTCAGTGTTAAAAAAAATAACGTCCTTGACTGTAAGAAGAGAGAGGACTGCACTGTGCAATGTCACATTTAATAGATAACCTTGATAAAAAGTAAGTAGTGAAAGATATGTGAAATCCCTGCATGTTGGAATAGCATGCAGGGACTTAACACCATTATATCCAGTCCATACATGCACTACTGTCCTTAGACTATCATGGAAAAATTCAGAAAGAGAAAAAAAAAAGGCTACTAGTAGGAGGATGACCTTTTTGTTTATGAGGAGATTATTCTGCAATTTCCATCTTCTCTTACATTTTCCATTTTGGTACTGCCACAGGACATGGTAGGGTCCAATGAATTCTGGCAATTCCTATACTAATGTTTCTGCATTCATAATCTGTAGCAATCAGCATTTACACGGCACTGCTTTGTTTTAGTTTCGCCTTTTAGTAGAGGCAGTTCCTGAGTGTGCAGAACAGATTCAGCCTCAGCTTGGTCCCTGTTCTCACAAGGTAAGGTCTCATTGATGAGGGAAGTTTGCTCTGAGGGCAGGTCAAAGTGACAGTCCACTTAAGGAGCATGTTAAGATATTTTAGGTTGAACTGTAATTTGTGTCTGAAGCTGAGCTGTTTCCAAGGTTTTCCTTGTTGGATCCCTGTCTGTGAGCAGGGTTTGGAAGCAATTTACAGCTTCTGTCTGTCAGATTTTTCATCATTCATGTCTTCGTGTTGTACAACAAATGTGGCCTGACAAGTGCACTGGACAGACAACTACGACACCTAGGAAGGAGGAGCTATTTTATCCTGGTCATAGACAAGCACTGCAGCAGTAGCCTTCAAGTCAAGGTCCCTGTGTGCACTGTGTTGCTGTGAAAGCTGATCCAAAGTTCAATGATTTTCAAGATTGCATGCAGACTCCTGTGTGCCTATTAATTTTTATTTAACAGGTCTCTCACATCTCTGTAATGCCTTTTCTCTACACTGGTTGAATAATAAAATCTCTCACAGCCATGGTGACAAGATCTAGTTTCTGAGGGCCAAATCTTAGAAAGATCTTAAGCCTGCAGGTCCGAACTAGAATCTAGGACATGAATTAGATGATGAGGCTCCATTTGCTGTGCCTGAGAAGAGGCTGTCTAAGAATAGCCTTCGGATGTGGACCAAGTGCCATGCCAATAGTGTGCCACAATCACAGGGTGGGAGAGAGATGCCCTCAAAGCTAAGCAATGAGTACCCAAGTAAGTCTAACATGCTAATGTAGCGAAGTGTAAAAGAATTGTTTCATTGACAAAAGAACAAAACCAGGAGCAGGCAATCAAGGATGTTAAATTTCTCTGGCTGGCCGGTAGGAATGCTGGAGATTGAAATGCTATGGAAATCAGGGAGGTCTCACCAGCTACCTGGTGTTGGGTGGAGAGGTATCAAACACAGACTGCTCAACTCACTTCTGGCTTGCCAGGGCAAAATTCAAAGATCTGGGGTATTCCATGTGCTGCAGGCAACACCGTAGGGTGAGTGAATCGTGCAACACCAGACCGCATGCTCATCTGTGTGGAATGCCCCATGAGCACTGGGAGAAGAGGGGCCAGCAGGTCATAGAATCATAGAATGCTTAAGGTTGGAAGGGACCTCTAGAGGTCATCTAGTCCAACCCCCCTGCACAGGCAGGGTCACCTACAGCATGTGGCACAGGACTGTGTCCAAGCAATTTTTGAAGATCTCCAGAGATAGTTACTATTATTTGGCCTTCAAACAAGTTTACAAGTTGTTTCTTTCTTATTTATCAATTTACTCTTTTCAAATTGCTTTGTAGGATAATAGAGGTGATGAGTTTGTTACTGTTGACGCTGAATGTGACGTGTTGGGAGTGTGTGGAGGAAGCAGCAGGCTAGTGTGCCACTGCAGTGTTAGCTCCAGCCAGAAGAGTGCACTGCTCATACAGCAGAGAAAGGTGGCCGCCGCTGAGGGCTTTCTGGGGAGGATCTCAGTACCATACAGTTTCCTTTTATGTGTCTTAGTCCTTCAGTATCTGTAGCTTTAATACTCTCTTTATTCAGGCACGACTGCAGCATATGCAGTCTGGTCCGCCTGTGAAGATACCAGCTCTACAAGCTGTAACCGGCTCTGCGTTACTAGCTTGAATTAACAACTGTGCAAGTCTCCATTTCACTGACACATTCAATATGCTATGCTATGCTGCAGTCACCTTCAGTTGCTCTGTGGGCATATTCTGAGAGTGATCTGCATCTGATTCTGAGAGCTTGTCTGGTTTGTCCTTGATCTGTACAATCTGATCTATCCTTGATCTATTCCTTTTTTTTTTTTTTTTTTGTTAATGTGTTAATGGTAGGCATAGAGAAATAAAATGCTGGGTGAGTTGTTCTTTTTACTGATTTCAGAGCACCTAAGCCTCTTCCAATTTGTAGTTAGCCTTCTCCATACATTGTCTGCTTAAAAGAAAACAGGAGACAAATATGTTTCTGAAAAACTCAGGTCAGTGCTAGATGCAATTTTTTAACCCAAATTTTTTTTGGGGAAAAAAAAAAAAGCATGCTGTTATATTGTATGTGAAAGAGGTTCTGAGTAGGAGATGGCTTGACTCTTCAGAGCCAGCATTAGTAGAGATGGTAGATGGTAGGCTGCCAAGGAGATGTTCTGCAGTTACATGACTTCATATGTGCTTTTATTTGACTTTTCGGATTTGTACTTTATATTCGGTTGAGTGGATCAGCAGTCGTCTCATGAAGTATTGAAAGAAAAAGTCATGATCAGGGTTGGGATAATTCTAGTGCTCAACAAGTCCGTATTTCTATAACTAGAAGAGAAAGGAAATGTTATTTTGCGGTCTTGGGTTATTTTCTGTTAAGTTTTGCGTTGTAGCCACTTCATAGAGGCAACAGGTTAAAATATTTACTAATCTTGTGAGCAGACCCTAGCCATTTTCAGTGCTGTAGTGCTGTCTTGAATCACACAGTCTGATCTCTTCACTTAAAGCAAAATAGTTCTGAAAGAGGTAACTTCTATGTCCAGAAAGTAACCAGCACAGCAGAGATTACAGGTGCTGTTGCAGCCATACACAGTAAAATGAGGAGTGAGGCAGGAGCACACGGCTGCATAGTGCTGATCCTTCAAAGAGAGAGGAAAATGCTAACAGTTTAGGGGATTTAGACCATGTGGAAGTGTTTATGGTACAGCAGTGGTGTGTGCCTTAATTTTTGTTTTTAATATTTTGCATACATTTTTTTTCAGTTAACTGGTGATAACTGCTAGGGGCAGTTTGCTCCAGTCCAGTGGAAAATCTGTTGAAATAATAGTTGATTGCAAAACTGCCTGCTACAGCCCAGCTCCAGCATGCCCCACTCCACCGTTGACATTACCTCCAGAGCCGTGGCACTCGTGCTTGACCTGGCAGGTAGCTATCCTTGTTTGCTCTCTTGTGGGCTCCAACTGGACAAGGAAACCCCAAACACTGTTCCCTTGTTCATGCCTCTGGCTCTAAATGCTTTTAAAAGGGCAGCGGACCCCAGATAGAGGACAATGTCCCAGAGCCAATTGTTCTAATCCCTTGAGGGACAAGGCTTGTGCCATAAAACATGGTGAGAGGTTAACATACAAGGCCAAGGGTTCTTACCAATCATCCTTCATCTTAGATCTGGATCAGTAATCCAGATTGGTCCAGCAAGTATGTAGCCCTGGAGACCGACTGAATGTTGACCAGGAAAGTCTGAGAATGACATACAGTGCATTTGGGTAGTTTTTCAAGGATACAGAAATTCCATATGTTAAGTATTAATGTATTGAAATACCAGCTAAGAGTAATGTTACAAAGCACGTGTTCAAGGTGTTTCTGGTCCCTTAGACAAGGTTTCCTAACTACCTTAAAAACACCAGGCCAAAGTGTTTTGCATGATTCTCTTACCCCTCCTCTCCATGCTTGAGCTGCATTGTCCTCTGCAGAGGCTGCCATGTAATATGTTGGTAGGAGAGCAGACTGCCAGTGAGCAGTGCACGTACACCTGAAAATGAGAGAAAATACTACTTGGTCCACATAAAATCTCCTCTTACAGAGCATTGCTTTGTCTTTTGTCTGCCGTTTGCAAAAGTTACAGCTGACTAGATTTAAGCTTGTCTGAACGCTTGCATGTGGCACCTTCTAGCTGAACCTGCATTGCATTTCAAATTTGGTGTCAAAGAAGCCCTCAGGCAGTTTGGTAACTGAGAGGCTGAGACAGGAGAAGTTAAAACCTCACGAGCTGCAGTAAGGCTACATATCAAAGCTAGACAGAAACTCAATCTGGTGCTAGATGCAACTGCCCACTTAGGAAGCAGTATGTGCCAGAATTGCATCATGTTCAATTCTAGCAAGTTCATGAGCTGAACTCCTTAAGAAGGGCCAAGTCAAAAAATGATGTGGTTACTTTAGCTGCTCAGGCAGGGGTATTGCCATGGCTTGTAGCAATACATGGTGCTGGAGCGGACTCAAGGGGGATGCAGAAAGCACAAAGCACTCTGTTCACTGTCCTCAGCTTTGTTTTCCTGTTTTAGATCTGTTAAAGGAAGACAACCACAATAGCAGAAGGCCAAACCGACATGCCTGTGCTTACTTGCCTATTGGGCAAGCATCCGGGGAGATGATTGACTGCCTGGGATAGATGGGAGACAGCTAAGCTCTGTTTTCTGTGCATGCTGTGGTGCATTAGTTGACTTTTTTGTACTAGACATTTTGAGTTCAAGTGCTATGAAATGACCCTATAAAAAGTCAGAAACACCATATAAAAATCATATTTACATACCAAACTCTTTTGTTTACTCCACTCAGTTCAATCTTAAATCACTGAAACTGTGACTGTGTGAAGAGAACTAAATTAAAGCTACGCATCACTCAGGCTACTTTGGCTGTCTGCTGTACAGGCCTTAAGTCTGTGAGGTGCTTAAATTGGCTATATTTTAAGCAATCTGACTCAGAAAAATGGTCTTAGTTTATATTCTGTCAAGAAGAGTTCACAGGGCAGGGCCCATGAATGCTAGGTCATCCTTTCTCTTAATCTTACCTGTTCCAAAGGATGTGTCAGGATCCTTACTGCTAGCCTTTTAAAATGTGACGGATGTTTCACTCTGCTGCTAACAGTTACTGGACAGAAATCCACAACAAACTCATTGCTGTTAATCTCACACCTATTTGAGAGAATAGATTAGCAGTTCTAGAAGAAATCAAGGCTTCTTCAATGCACGAGTTGGTCATTCAGTAACTACTTGCCCATCCACAGTGATATTCCATCTTGAGGTGCTGTTAAAGTCTAGAGACTCAGTGACCCAGCAATTATCCAAGAATAATTCTGCTTCAGGACTTTCATCTTTCAGCTCAACCTCAAGAAACACAGGGTCCAAGGATCGTCTGAGTATGGCCATATTCGGTTCATAGAATTCCAGGAAAGACTCATCTTGAAAAAACACCAAGGAATTTTGCTGTTATTTATTTATTTATTTATTTTTAATCAAAACATATTTGGAATTTTTGCGATTTTCTTAGAAGAAAACTCACCTTTTGACACCCTTGAAACTACATTCAGGACTTGTCTTATCCTTCTGTATACTGCAGATAAGAAAATGTTCATAAGGATCTTTAGTAAGAAGCAGGCTAAGTCTTAAAAGAAGGAGCTTACAACTGAAAAAGTTACACAGGTTTCAAAATGGACGAGGATTGCCCACCTGCAATATTCGATCTTGGCACCACTGTACCAGAGCCAAAGGCAGGCGACGTGTGTGCAGATGAATCACCAACGAAGGCACCCAGCATCAGTGTCTCCTTTGCTTGATAGTAGCACAAGACTGTTAATCTATAACAGGAATAGTTTTTGTATTCACTTTTTCCATCAGCTGTAGCAGCCCAAGTGTTTTAAGTGAGCAGAGATAGGCAAACTCCTACCTGTAGTCTGTATCTCTTGTGATTGTTGACAGACTTCGTCCTGGGATAGTCTCTTTTTCATAAGAGATTTCGTTTTCATAAATAATGTGATCACCTTCAAACTGCGTGTATAAGAAACTCATTAAAAACTGATTATTCTCAGGAGATGGGGCAGATGAGCAAAAAATAAAATTTGGGAGAAACAGAGGCTTCAGATGTATTTGGCTCTTGCCATGGCCTTACCCTTACGGAAGTGCCACAAGTGGTGACATGGAACTTGAAGAAGGCATGTTCTTTATTATATTCTTTAGGCTTGCAAGAGCTGTCCCTTAGTTTAGTTTTACTCATATCAATAGCAGGAATTGTCTTCATTTGGGCGGATATCATTATAGTTCCGTCTGGGTGGCATACTGAGAAAACCAGAGAGTTACAAGCTCAAGGGAAGTATCACAGATCTTTCTGCTGATCAATCTCTTGTCCAACTTACCTATAAATGCTGAAGAATTAAAATTGCATCTAGTGGAGAATATCTCTAAGGTCTCCAAAGTTCTCACTTTCCTCAGGGCAACATCAAACCTTGCTTTGATTTTCTGAAAGGACACTTCCTGTAAAGGAAGTGAAAGAAGAGGTCTCCTGTCAAAGCATGTTACTGATCTGTATGTGCATCTTTTCAACTTGTGGTACTTCAAATGCTAGCAAGTCATAAGCATTAAGTCAGTGTGAAAACTAAAGTCTGATGCAACATGGAGGCAGAAGTTTTCTGGTATGAATTAATTGGTTATTGTCACAGAGAGAAAACTTTTGGCTTGTAATTGTAGAATAGTTCAGATATTTATTACAGCATCAATTTTTCCTGCCATGTTTTAACATTTCTGGAAAAAAAAAAAAAAAGTAAGTTCCTTTAAAAGAGCTTCTTTCATAAAGGCTATATTGGAATATTTTTTTCTGGCTCACTACAGATGGGACATTTTGTCTCACCCTACTAAAAATACTCAGGAGTTTGTTTTTGAGGACTTCTTGTGTACCTTTTAGAGACAACTTAGCACTGCTGATTACACAATACATGGCGTTTCCAGGAGGGCGCATGTCCGGTTCCTCTTGTCCTACTTACACTTGCATGGAGTCATTCCTTTTTGAGGTTTTGTATCAATACGTTTGATACAGCACTACAAATGGTGACTCTAGACCGTCTAGACAGTTGTCTATGGGCAAACAGTACTATTTACTTTACAGAAGGCAGTATGATACAGTTTATGTACCTCATAGATAACTCCTATAGCAAACAAAGGTATTTGCAAGATCAGGTGGGTAGAATTGGTAGCTGCAAAATACCCATTTGTAAGTACAGTGTGCCGGTTCAGAAGTTTGTTACCAATATATAGGTTCCAGTACTGGTGCAGGCCTAAAATAGGAATGGCTAAATACAGGTTTTCTTTATCACAGTAACCAACTGCTTCTGGTAGTTCTGTGGAGAGAAGGTGGGATAAAGAGTGAGCAACGAATGAGGCTTTGCGCAATGTTGTTTGGCTAAGTTACAGATTTCTATCATGGGTAAATTTTACTTTGGCAGCACAGCAGAGTTATTACGTGCATACTGGCATCATCTGTAGGCTTTTGGCTGTGTTGGGGATGTAACAGCTCACAACTGGAGGCATCAGAATCCTCATGGTTTAGCAATGGTTTGCCAGCCCCCTGTTTCAATATGACAAGCTGAACTATGTATGTAAATATATTTTTGGTCAGCCAACCTTCTTTGGGCTGAACCCAGAGCTGTTTTGAAGATAAAATATGACAGTGACTCTGTAACCTTCACAGCATCCAAAAGTCCAAGAAGTTTGAGAAAATACCAACCATAGCTCCTGACTGTTCCACCAACCTGCTAAGTACATCTTTTAACAGATGACTGTCTCCTTAGAGAAATGCTGTCTTTGAAGACATTTATTTAATCCAGTTGAGCTTGCCCTGGACACAGAGGCAAAATTGCATTTGAGGACAAACTGAAACTCACAGCAATGTCTGAAAGTTTTGCCAGTAGATGTATATTCAAGTTATGAGGCATCTTGTTTGCTGAGTTTGCTAGCCAGATCCTTTTACACATTAGCTTTTATTGCTCTCAGTGTCTCGAGGGCAGGCTGTCTTGCCAGTATGCAAGAGAGCTGCCATCAGAAAAGCAGCAAGTTGGCCATGTTGCCAATAATGAACTATTGAAGGGTGGGGTTTTCCCCAAAGCTCTCATCCTTAGCCTAACTCCCATTCTCACAGAATTCAGTGAAAAAGTGATCCATGCTGTTAATGTAAGCCAGTTAGTATCAGAGAAAAGCTTACCGATATCAGCAATTATGCATTCCAACTCTGCTGAATGGTGATAGAGTGTCATCTCTGGACCCACACTTAGAGTGTAGTTAAGAAGAAGGGTATATTTTGTTTCATTTTTATTCACGTACTGAAAGAGAGAAAGGGAGAAGCGTTAGGCTGTAGTAGCAATGGCTTCCAGCATGGACAGGAATGTATATCCTGAGCAGCACTAAGTAATTATTACAACACCCTCCTCTCCTAGCAAAGAGCTCAGTCTCCAAAAACATAGTTTCAGTTGGCCTAAAGCTGTTCAGAAACCTGGACTGAATTCAATAACTATTATGGCCAAACATAAGTGTGGATAATGTAATGCCTGCTCAGAAAATGGAGGCAGAAGTGAACACAGTTCTATTTCCTATACACCCCGGTGGTGAAAAAAGCCTGTTGAGGGAGACTAGAGTCCACATCCGTATTCTTCTTTACTCAGAGCATGGACCCAGGAGAATGAGTAACCAGTAAGGCAGAAGGTATGAGGATATGTCATTACAAGAGACCTTTCTCAACATCCGCATTTAACTTCAGTAAGTTTCCCGAAATCTGCTGTTCAACCTGAAAGAAACATTTGACTTTGATTTTTTTTTGTATTGCTTTTACCCTTGATGCGTTTTAATAGTGTCTTGACTGCAGATTGAAAATTATTTGCACAAGTCCTAATCTCGGGTATTCAAAATGTTATTTCTTATAACAGAAAATAGCATTGCAGCGTTGTTAGATTTGGTCCAAGGGAGTCAAAGAGGACATGCAGTCAAGTCCTCCCACTAAAATTAGAGCTTAGACTCCCTTCGTGCATTTTTACTCTTTACAAATCTTTAGAGTCCAAATGGCTTGAAATTTAAGAAAATTAGATTTTGAATATCTAGAGCCTGCCTGTACTTACTTGCACTGGGTATGGCTTATGCAAGTGTTCAAGTGGCTCTGCATAGACATGGATTTGAGAATAAGTGAATGTTGGTAACTGCTGTTTGCAGGATTGCAATAACTCATGGTTATTTTTCCAAGGTGCTCCTGTTTCAAGGGACGACATTTAATAGAGATTTGACAAACCTCTTCCTGCTGGGCGTTGCACTTGAAAATTAGCCATGCTGACAGACACCAAAGGAAGTCATATTTCATATCATCTAGTCACACTTGGTGTTGCACTTCTCCCAGAGACCTAGGGAGAGCAAGGTGGGGACATACAAACCTCTAATCTTAATTCAAATGAGCTAAGACTCATTGACAGCTCTATAATGGTAGAACAGCTGTTGGATATTAAAAGCCAGAGACATTCTGAAAAGGGACTGCCCTACCACTTCCACTCACCTGCTGAAGCGACCTGCTGTATCTTACCTCCTTTAGAACATATGGATCATCAAAAGGGACTTCCAAGATGAATCCTTTTGTTGTATTAGAAAAAGGAGTTTCATAAATCTTATACCCCTGATGTTGTGCCTGTCTTAGGGTAAAGGGCACATTTCCTACTGTGATTGACACCAGAGAGACATCGGGAAGAAAATGTCCAAATGCAACATTAAATATCCTTTCCTCTGGCAGAGTATCTGCAGGAAGAGAACATCAGATTACTGCTGATGTGGATCGAGTAACGAAAGACAGTTAGGGTGGCTTTGCATTCAAGTTCCAGGAAACGTAGCCAACAGCTATCTCTTTAATGGCTCTGATTAATGAGTGTTTGTGTTCTAGTCAGATCTGAGATATTCTGAGTACGTGAAAATTGCTTCAAGCTGTAGGAGATTAGCAATAAATACATGCAAGTTCAGTAACTTTCTAGAGGTGCATTCTGATGTGCTAGGAGATTAGCAATAAATACATGCAACTCTACAGGAAGAGGGTTCAGTAACTTTCTAGAGGTGCATTATGATGTGCAGTGACTTTCCTATAATGAAATCTAGAATCTAGTTCTGTCACATAAAATGTGGAAAAACTATCATAGTGTAACCTAAGAGTCTCACTTTTTTTTTCTTTCTATATTAGTTACTCAGATAACTCCACTGGATGAGTAGTTCCTTAGTGCATTGGAAAATATTTTAAAACACCCTTACTATACCACTGTTTGGCAATGTGATTTCATTATGCTCTCAGGGTAATTAATACAATTTTGAGGAGAAGATGGCATCAGTGGACATGGTCCTCAGAGAGTTGTGTGACAGTTACACAATGCAACATCTTTATTTTAGGGCTTTAGTGCTCAATAGAAAAAAAATGTCAATTAAAGTGGCAGAAATGCTCCTTTTCTTATCAGTGACTCATATTTTTCAATTTATCCCATAAAGAGAGGAGATGGAACATCCATGAAGGCTGGCAAGATTGTTTTGGTTTATCAAAACTTGGATCTTGTCTTTGACTAACAAATTGGAAGTGCAAATTGAGAACATTCCAATGAATCTAAGCTTGTGGCAGAAGTCAAATTGAATAATATGTAACTCAGCAAAAACAAGGCACTGGTAAAAGCCAGTAAGAAGATTGACTTACTGTTGATAACAGTTGGTATTTGTGGTATAAAAGGTGTAACGATTGGTTTGATGACAGTATACTTAGTGGTTTGCCAATCTGCATCTGTCCATGTGTGCTCCAAGAACAAGTCAATGCTGTAAATAACTCCATACACACCACCAGATACAGAGCTCTAAGGAGGTAAAATTCAGGAAGAATCATAGAATCATAGCATGGTTAGGGTTGGAAGGGACCTCTAGAGATCATCTAGTCCAACCCCCCTGCACACACAGGGTCACCTAGAGCACGTGGCACAGGACTGCATCCAAGCGGGTTTTGAAGATCTCCAGAGAAGGAGACTCCACAACCTCTCTGGGCAGCCTGTTCCAGCGCTCTGTCACCCTCACTGTTAAAAAATTTTTCCTTAAGTTCCTGTGGAACTTTTGGTGCTTCAGTTTGTGGCCATTACCTCTAGTTCTGTCAGTGGCCACCACTGAAAAGAGACCAGCACCATCCTCCTCACTCCCTCCCTTGAGGTACTTATAGACACTGATTAGATCCCCTCTCAGCCTTCTCTTCTCCAGGCTGAACAGGCCCAGCTCCCTCAGCCTCTCCTCGTAGGGCAGATGTTCCAGGCCTCGATCATCCTTGTGGCCCTGCGCTGGACTCTCTCCAGCAGCTTATTCCTCAATAGTTCAGTGGAATTATAACTGAATATGACTAAAAATCTTACTCTAGAAAAAGAAAATAGAATTCTAGGACAGTTTGGAATGGATTTTGCTAGGTGAAATGCTTGGTTATTTGGACCACTTGACTGGCCCATGTTTGGCTCAGATGTTCTCAGCAAGGAGACATCGGGGAGCATAGCTTATTAACTTGACTAAGTAAACAGTATTTTGTCCCCCCACCTGCCTTGCTTGTTTGGCCTTGACTATGAGCCTTGCCTTTCATTTTATTCTGGTTCACTTTGAAATTTTATCAGTACTTCAGATGGTTCTTCAGACTAATTCTGTCTTGCACCATGTCATATTTTGCTCCATGGTAATACACACGATAATGTACAGATCCACTAATACGGCAAAAAGTGAACTTCTGAAGGGGACAAATCAAAGTCACTGCCTCTTTAGAAAGAATCATGCAGATATATTGCCCGCTCCTTTCTACTGAATATTTCTTTGGACACTGCTTCTGTACTAGTAAACTATAGAATACCAGGGCCTGCTTTCTGGCTCTTAAGTCACATCCATACTCTTAAAACTTTCCAAGCATCCCAAGAAGGGCAGCTTCAGCCAAACTACATATTGGGAGTATATTCTGTCCCATGCTTGTTTTCATGCAAATGGCATGATTTATCTGGAAAATTGGTCACTGACCCAGGCCAAAAGTGTTCCAGGGAGCATTTTCATAATGTAACAAAATAGATGATTGAAATCCACTGCCCAGAAACTCCAACATTTTAAATTTATTACTACAGGCATTACTTTAACGTACAGATCATCCAGAAAATACAACTTCTTGCCTCTATTGTGTTTTCCTAAGAAATACTTAATTTCTAATTAAGAAATAGAGAGCATAGAACAGAACATAGAGAAAGAGTATCTAAGTCTTCCAGTATTTCTGTATCTAAGAAGCACTGTCTGAATCATGATTTGAAGACCTCTTTCATGAGGCATCCCATGAACTGTGTTAGTCTCTTAAAGGTTCATACTAACCTTTAGTTTCCCTCCTTCTGCTCCAATTGGGATAGTTATTCCAATATGTGTGTTGTTGTGCTCCAGTAAGTAGTTCTTCTCCTGAGGTTTTGCTATGACTTGGCCATTGACTCCCATTGAAATGCTTTTGGACAAAAAGGTGGATTCTTGAAGCACTAATGTGGGGATAATACTTGGCACAGTCCATGTTAACGTAGTATCAGTGAAGCTGGTACCATCTGTTGAGTGAGAAAGACAGTTCCAGGCAATTGGATTTGCCAATGAGTCTTCAGTCTGCAATAGCTGTCTTTCCCTGACGCCTTTCCATCAGGGTGCCATTTACAGCTAACAAAACACCTTACATGATGTTAGAAGACTATTCTATAGAAAGGCTATTCTATAGAAACCGTGGCACTCAAAGCAGACTTGGATCACCAATTTCAGATGAATAATTAATTTATTAGGAAGCACTGCCACTTGTGCTCCCAGTTACTTGCCATGTTCTGCTTCTGGTCCCAGGAGTTTTGCCTTACAGACTTCAACAGCAGGAGCACGGACACAGCGCCACCCATTTGGGCCTTTTCTTTTGAATGTTTGCTTCATGATTTTAACAATTTAAAGCATCCTACTTCCTTGTCAAATATTCCAGTTACCACTGTTACACTAAGCCACAGCAGAGGAGAATGTTTGTCAGGCATTAACACCCTCTTAGCTCACACTGCTTGGAAGATAGCTTGTAAACCTCTTCTCTTAAAATGCAGGTTGTAGGGAACTGCTCAGATTGTGTGTCTTACTAGCTCCTCAGGCAGTTATTTCTGGTGAACAAGGAAGGAATCCTTACCAACAGGGCAGGAGACAGTTGTGTCAATCAGCAAAAGCAGCCACCGCTGCCTGTACATGGAAGTGGAAGTGACCATGTTCATATTTACACCACCAACCTGTTGGGATGCAGGGATAAAAAAAAATAAAGGAAAACAAATGTTATAGAGAGGCAACAAAAGCAACGCAATTTTGTATTTGTTTGAGAGCAACAACTCACCGTGCTGAAATCAGACTCATTGCTGTGATAGGGTGCACGGAGATAAACTCGAGACAGTGTGTTATTGAAGCTGTAGCCTAGTTTAGCTGCATCGCTTACCATTATTCTCTTTCTCCCTGATGGAGAAACAAACATCAGTTGCCATAGCTGGTATGCAAGATTTTGAGTCTGCAAGAGATAAAGAGAAATTGCATAATATACAAGTATACAAAAGCCTCTTCAAATTCTCTGAAATTGTAACATTTATTTTCCCATTAGGAACTAGAATAACTGGAGGTGCGCAGGGCATATCAGTGCCCTAGTCCATGAGTAACATCCTTTATGTATATAAAGAAAGTGTTATAGCAGCCCTAGAAGAGTCTGGTAGCCTTGAACAAATCCCCCTGGTCAAATTGCCTGCACTGTTAATAAAAAAGTTGCCTTCATGCAAAATGATTATTGGAGAAGTCTATAGGTCAAAAGACAGACTACCTTGTATAGTATTTAACCATGCTGTGTCACACATAGGAGAGAGGAATATACTGGTCTAGGATGGAGGTCTATCCTAGACAGTATTTCTTAACCAGAGAGGAAAATGGATGTAAGAAGAAAGTGAGGCATGAGTAAAAATAGGATAAGCATATATTTTCCCCTAATACTTTCTATCCTCAAACAATAGTTCTGAGTATTTGTGGCTTTTTTGTATTTTGTAAGTCTTATTGGATTTCTCCTTTACAAAATTTTCCTGAATTCCCTTGAGATCAAGCAACCTTTAGCAGGCACAGCATCTTTTTGGCAAGGAGTTTGACAGATTCACTAGCCGCTGTGTAAAGAACCATCTACCTTTGTTTTGTTCTGAACTCAGCTGCTACTAACTCTTACAAGCATATATGGCCTTTCTGTCCCACCTAAACATATTTTGAAGTCTTGAGCTTTAAAAAAAAATTTTGAGAGGTTTTTCAGTACTTGAGGGCGTCTTTGACATACCCCTTTTTCTATGACTCACAATATTAGAGAGAAGACACAGGCTAACAGCTGTTAGGAAAGACTCTCCATACCTCTGGTAATGCTGACATCCATGCTACAGTGTAGTCGTTTGAAACTGCAGGGACATCAGTCTTCACTGATACCTGGGAACACAAATGAGTTTAGGAACAAATAAAACCTGCCGCATTATCACAGGTGTGAGAGAGGAGGCCTTTCAGATTTCTTCCCAAGTGTCTGTTGGGATTTAGCAAGCAACATTCACTGTAGGTTCTTGACTTCAGAGATCTTGGACTGCTGTAAGTTCTGCACTCTTAAAATGAAAACTAAAGCTGTGGTATTTATGGGGATGTATGTATAGTAAAGAGTCCTGGGCAGTGTGCTTTGGGTGACCCTACTTGCACAGGCGGGTTGAACAGGATGGTCTCCAGAGATCTCTTCCAACTTCAACCATTCTGTGTTTCTGTTAGTCTTTGTGTTTAACTAGGTAAAATAATGATCCTGTTTCATATCTGGGAAACAGGTATGTAATATGTAGGGTCTTTCGGGCTTCTGTTTTGCTTGCAATGACATGAATTACAGTATTTTTTTTTACAGATAACTGAGTTTCACTGCATGCAAAATACCAATGACATGTAAATGTGTTATTAATGAGCATCTACAGTTAGGCTTTCTGCTGAATAGCCACATGTTGCTATTGGCCCTGGATGCGTAGTGTAAAATCAACTTCTGACCTAAGTGTGTATTTGTGGAGGTTGCTGTGCCTTGCAGGGAGCTTGGATGTAACTCAGCTTTTGATGGGAAAGTTTTTACCTCCATGTAATTTTCTTCACACACAATTTCTCTTGGAGCCCAGGAAGAGTAGGAGCAGTACATGGGGTAGATGTAGGTCACAGCTGCTCTCATGCTTGGAAACGAAGACACCCTGATGTTCACAGTAAGTGAGAACAGCTCATCTGCCTAGGAAGAAGAGTTAGAAATTTCGTGGGTCATGTAGAAGGTCATGTTCATATGCACACAGGAATGACAGCACAGGACCATTTTGCCTACTGTCCAGTTTCCAAGAGCAGCTAGTACTGAGGGCTTCTTTGCAAGGATAAGAGCAGACTGAGGCCTGTAATGACAGCTTTCCACTGGTTTGTGCACGGGGGCTTTCTGAGACGCAGACATTGTCTTAGTAGTTACAAACTTTGTGTTAGATGAGATCTCAGGAATATTATTTCCATAGTATTAAATGTGCAGCTAGTTGGAGGAAGATAGATACACTAACACTGATAGATACACTGACCTTCTTCACGATGTCGTTCTTGTTTCTCTCATTCATGATCGCTATGTACATTCTCATGGAGACAAAGCACTAGACTTTAATTTGATGTAGCTAATTCAGATCCCTCTTACAAATGCTTAGCATTTATCTAAATTAGTGCCATTAAGACATCTCCTCTCCTCTTGGTCCTTCAGCTCCATGGGAGCCAAACATAAAGACGTTGATTGTGCTGCTATCAATCAGGCATGAATGTTATCTACAAACAAAACTAAACAAAAACAATGCAAAACCTTTCCAGAGAAACTGGATGTTCTGGTCATTTCACAGCACAGTGTACCCCTTATTCCTATTAGCATAAGATCTACCCAGCAAGTTTCATCTTATTTTTACTGTGAGGCTTCCAGAATCAACAAGACGTAGACAAAAGACGAAGTTTCTGTTCTGATATATTCTGTTTCTAGGTCAGGTGGGGTACAATTCATCTCAACTATCATTTAGAAATCAGAAATCTGCACTAAACTTTTAAACATATTTTAGGATGGTGTGAATCACCTTCCAGAGATGCCTGTTTTTCTTCATTGACTATTGCAGAAGTGTAAAGAACTAGTTTAGACTAGACATTATCTTTTAGATGGCTCAAGTTACATGAGACAAATCTGGGTCTAATAGATGTGTGTGATCTACGTTCCTAGGCATGTGTTAACAGGCACATTACCACATAAATTAAGCCAGGAAAGGATCTGCCAGAATCACACTGCAAATGTTGCTTTTTCAAGCAGATGCCTACTTCTTTCCAGAGAGGCTTTCAAGAAACTCTCTGGCAAATCAGCATCAACAAGGATATGCTTGAGAGCTGGCAGCTAGTCAGCAGAATTATGCTAAGTGTCATTTCATGGAGAGAGGAAATCCCATGTCAGTCACACTGAACATACCTCATACTGGAGAGCTATTGCCTATTCATGTCTACACACCACCAACATTATACTAAGTCTTTGAGTTCACTGTTTCTTGAGTTCTCAAAACATGTCACTGAAATGTCATATAATATCCCAGTCTTATGTTTCTGGAGAGCATACACTGTCTGAAATGGTTTTCAGTCTGTCTTACCTCATTGGCCACATGACAGCCAAGCACTGACGCCCGGAAGATGGGGTTGCCCCATACATCTTCTGACAGGACATAGCCACAGCGAGATGCTAGTTTCTCATCCAGCAGAACAGGGCCGGCATAAGGATCTACAGAAAAAAGGATGTTGGGGAATGACATCTGGGAAGAAAAACTCAGGCAAATCACTGGGCAAGGCAGTGCTGAGGCCTCCTCACCCAACTGCGTTCAGAAAAGAGGACCATGTGGATTAGGTGCTCTCCAACAGTGCATCTTGTTGCTCCTCTTAAGGAGCTAATGAAGCCATACTGCTACATGTTAAAGCACACATGATAAGTGGCTCACACAAATTATCATCACTTTAGTGCCCACTTTTTACAGAAGCTTGTGCCACAGCCCCCCTTTGAAGTACTATCAAGGAGAGTTTCTCTCCTTGAGAATGTGTGTATTGCACACATTTCTCCCTCTCCAGTTTTGCCCTCCAGAAAGAATTATGGACTATTATGTCCATCTGTTTTCAAAATCCTGAAGTTTGGTATTTTCTTGCTCAGTATGATCAAAGGATGTGGTAATGGACATATTCTGGATGGGCACTTCTACAAGTTGATCATGTTTGCCCCTTATCTCTGTCAGACAAAGCACTGTGTACTGTTAAACCTAGAGGGGAGCTGAGTAACGGGCAGTCTGGGAGACGGTTGAGCTCAGCGCTTGATGCTGGTAAAGTTAATAACATTGTATTCTGTTAATTATCTATTCCTCTGATTAAGGAACTATTTTAGTCTTGGGTTAGACACAAGAATCTGTACAAGTAGATAGGGTTTTACTAGCTGTCATTGTAATTTCAACATTTATCTGTCATCTTTATATGTCGGACAGTACTAGTAACTGCTGTTTCAGTAGACATATTCTTGCAGCCAGGATAGTGTAGGAGATAAGTGAGAAGAATTTTGGAAGAAGAGAGAATAGCTTTTATGAGACCAGCTGATAGAGCTGGAAGAAACAAACAAGCTTTGTGTGCCTCAAGGCTTGTCTGTTTTTTCCAGAGATATCAGTTGCTCTCATAAAAGTTCTCACTTCTCTCCACACCCTTGCTGTACTTGATTTTTTCAGTTCTGCCTCCAAATTAATTGCAGGGTGGCGGGGAGAAGGGGAAGACAAACCCCGAAAAAAAAAAAAAAAAGAACTGATCCCAACAGAAAGAAATATGGTTTGGGGTGAAATCACATACTTTGTTCAATTTGGCATGAACATTTTCTGGTTTTCATTTTGGTTAAATAGATTTTTTTTCCTTTACTCAGTCAAGTGGATACACTTTGTTCAGTTTGAAACAGAGTATTTCACTGTCATTGTGATGTTAAATAAAAAGAAAAAAGGTCTTTTAATTGCTGAAGTCCCCAGGACCCACCCAGGGTGTGTTTTCTGGCTATTACTCAGCAAATGCCGCTGTTGTCACCTGTGACATTCAAGATACACCCAAACTACAATTTCACCTCTGTTTTCCTAGCTAGATGTGTAAGCTTTCAGCAGAGAAAGGAAGACCCAAATACCAGTTGTTCCTTATTGGACTGTCCTTTCTCCTTTTCTCAGGCATGCTAGGCAGAAGGGGCAAAGGGGACTATGGCTGTAGATATAAACTATCTGTAGGGATATTAGGCAAATTAATTGTGGCCAGGTTTAGGCGCAGGCAGCAAGGACATTCTGTCAGTTCTTTCAGGGTAAGTAACGCATAGTAAGTAATGTGGCAGCAGCATCCAGCTCATAGACACCAACTTAGGTTGTACTCCAGCCTTCATCTTGCTCAGGGCAACCACTTTGTGACTCACCATTGATTTCCAGCTGGAAGAACTTTCCTTGGAGAAAGAGTTTATTCAGTTTCATCCAAAAAATCCTGGAGTGGCAACTGCTCTCTACAAAACCTGGTGGAAGCACACGGAGAGCAGATGAGCCAGGAGGACCAGAGACTAGAGGAGAGACATATGTCATTTTGAGTAGAATTACCTAGTTGTCCCTTGAGAACTATCCTTGCCACTCCCTGCTATCCTTTTATCATGTTTCACCAACCTGGGGGAGCCATCCGCCTCCCTTGTACCAGCCAGAACAACAAGAAAAGCAGCCAGATCCTGCAGTGTAAATGTACAAACAAATGATGGGATAAACACAGATGAAGGTAGAAAAATGAAAGAGGCAGAAATTAAAGACCTTTTACCTGCACAGTGAGTAACCTGCAGCCTCCATATGTCCCCAGAGACCTGTGCATGTGCAGCAGAGTCCTCCTCACTTTGAAGTAAAGCTGATGCAGCTATGGAGAGGAGTCTTGGTCAGACTTAGGAAGAAAAGTATATCCAACCAATACAAAGGAGATATTACTCTGTCTTCTCCAAACTTTGTGTGAATCGGGAAGGAAACTTCCTGTCCCAGAGGGAAGGCTGAGTTGAATCATGCAGTGCCCTCCAACGTTATCTGAGCTCCCCACAGTGGGAGGCAATGTCCCTCTCCCTCAGCCAGGGCAGAGCACCAGGTATTTACAAGGTCAGACATTACTCCTGAGCCTAACTGTGATGAGCGCAGCACGAGGTGCTCTCTACTTTCCATCGACTCTTAGGAAGAAAGAACATCCCTAGACTGTTGGGTAGCATTAGCTTCAGGTCTGAAGTGCATTTGCAGCGTTTCCCCAGAGGAATTTTAACTTGGTCTATGTAGGAAATATATTTTTGTTTCTGTGAAATGTCCTAATGACCCAGCAATGCCAGAGATAACAGCAGTTCTTTGGCAGCTACATGTTTCACTTTAATGGACCCAGGTAGTTTACCCTTTGATTTGTTTGATTATTGGAGAGTAAATTGCATTTACTCTCCAAAAGTACTTTACTTTTCTCCAAATGTATTGTTTCGGTAAAAAACATCATGTTTTTAGAAGTGCTCCAGTGTCACTGAATCAGTCAGACCAAACGCAGGTCCGGTCAGTAAGTGGCCAAACACACTCACTGGGAAGAGCCGGTTGTTGTGCCTTTGATTGGAAATGCCAAGGTTTGAGGAACCAAAATGCAGCTTGTGGGGCAAGGCTGTAAGGCTAAGAAATACAGGAAAGCTAATATTTTAGTCACAAAAACATAAAGTTTAATCTCCTTCTCGTCTCTTCTGTGGTGTTACCCAGATAATCCTTATGCAGTTACAACCTTACCTTACTTTGGTTCACATGTGTGAACAGAGCTGTGCTGAGGAAGCGAGATTGATTTTAAGGTATAGTTTGCACTGCTTCATGATCAACAAAAATCATTAAGGACAAAACATAATCAGCTTTCCTTTCTCTGTCCTCCTTTCTCTGAGGGCCTCTGCATTAACAGCAGTATCCACGCAACTGTTCTTGTGAGATAGGCATGTTCACTTTACACAACAGGAAACGGTGGCTCTCTTATGTAAGTGCTCTGGAGCAGAGCCACAGGACTTCAGCTATCTCATAAATAACGGTCTTTGGCCACAAGACCCTCTCCCCTACAATAGAGGCCAAAGTCCAACTTCTGGAGCAAACTTCTTGTTGTGAGCCCACAGAAAAGTTACTGCATGATCCTGGCCTATGTTAATTTTGCTTTGCTGGGATTCAGAGTGGCTCTTCATTGAATCCAGCTGTGACTGGAATTCAGCTGGAAAGGCTGTATTTAGATACCACAGTGATGAGTGTGGTGTAACAATGAGATTTTGAATTTTGAGTGAAAAACCTCAGTATACTTGGATAGCAAACTGTTCCAGTTCTGATAAGCAGCTTCCAAGAGTCATGTAGCATCTTTTTGAGATACTGAGGGTCAGGGTCTGAAGGAGCCATGTTTGTGAAAGTGTTACTGCAGTTTATTAATCAAGAGCAAGCCAGCCATCAGGACAGGTACCTGACTTCTTTTCACAAGCGGTAGGGAGATGGATTTCCGGATCTTTGGAGACCTAAGAGCTTCAAGATTACTTTGTTGTTGGCATTAATTGTGGTGCTAAATATGGAAGACAAGACTTTGGATGTGACATAGCAATTGTGGTCAGTGTGCAATAGCCAGCATTTGGCCTCATTGTCAACCGAGCAAAGCAAAGCAAGTCCAGGTCAAATCCTTTTGGCTTCCAAGGATCGCATAGCTGCTGCGGAAAGCATTGTTAACATGGGGCATCTGGAAGCATCAGCTGCTTGCGGTCCCTAAAGCCTCTCTGGTACTCATTATAAAGGTAGGGAGGACAGACTTGTGCATTCCAGATTATTATATTTTGTCTACTCAATTCTCTTGGCTCTTTTGTCAGAATAAGAACACCCATCCTAATGTTCTTCTAGATTAATAAACAGCCGCTGTGTTTTGGTGTTGAGGTGATAGCATTCTGTGGTGGATAAGATGATTCATGATTTGAGTACTTCTGAGTTGAAAGATACTGTATGAATAAGTTTTGGTTTTCCTTTTTTTTCAGCAGGGGTCTGGAACTGGATTTTATGTTATATAAAGTAATTTAAAGTTTAAAGAAGGATACTTGGAGCAGCATATATATATAGCAGCTCTCCCAGTGAGACTTGCTTTTGATGGTGGAAAAAGTGTTCTACCCTTTGAGCAGGACTTTATCTTTCTGTTTTTCTGTGGCATTGAAATTTCCAGCTTACCTGAATGTTACAGGGACTTTTTTTTTTCTGTCCCAAGTCCATTAATGATAACTTTACTTCTTTGTTTTCCAACAGACTAAAATAGAAGGATTTTTTTTTCGCTAGGTCCCACATCATGATTTTAAGTAAACCTAATACTTTCATACATAATGTAAATGTAGAATAGAGTGAAATGGTACCGATTCATGGACAAATACTTGATCGACAATAAATGGAAAAGAGAATGGGGTGAAGTCTCTTTTTAATATAGCAAAAGCAAAATCTTTGCTATATAGAGATGTGAAAAGCCAAGATAAAGGATGGTATAGTAAAGCAAGATAATTTCACTTAGAAACCGTTAGGCAGGATGAGAATATTTTAAGTGTATGGCTGTATTCAAACTTTCCCTTGTCTCTTATTCTTGGGTGACTGAACAGTCATTGCTCCTCATTGGGCAGTGGAGAAGAAGGGAAAAAATGTTCCAGAATAGGGCAAAATTTGCTATTAGTTCCTTCCAATGATTTGTTTCAGCTTCCTGTAAGTAATCTGTTTTCTGGAAGAGAACAGCAGCCCAGTGCAGCAGCAGAGAGGGTGGGATGCAGTGATCTGGCTGGCCTTTGAGTTAGAGACTGAGGAAAACACAAAACCCTTGGAGAGCCTAGACAGGCACTGAGTACAAGTCCCTGCTCTCCTTATCTTCTTGTATCTGCAGGACTAATGAATCTGAAATACTGATAGAAATATCATTATTTAAGTATTTCTAAACCTACAAATATCTGCCCAAGATGGTGACCTAAGAAGTGACAATAAATTAGAGAGAATCATGAAGAAAATCAGGAGGTGCTAGCAAAGATAGATACTTTTTGCTGGGGAGATTTATGCCTTGTGGGAAGCTGAGGATCAGATATCTAAGTTGCAGGTTCACTGGATGCAAAATGAGAATGACAATAAGTTTTATCTTTGACAAGTGTGTTTGTAGGATGCCCCACAAGGCTCAAAGAGAAGTAAGTGACATCTGTCTGCTGGGAAGCAATCCTGTTCTGCAAAGACTTTAATCACCTTTGCATGGCAGAGGGCCCAGACTATCAGGCTTTGCCCACTGCTACTCTCTGTATACATCATTAGTTTGTAAGTGTTTTCTAAGAGCTTTTAAATCATTATGGGGAAAATAGCATAGCATAAGCATAGCTCTGATTTAAATTTATGTAATACTGCAAGATAATCTTGTTGATAAGACTAAAATACTCTGTCCCTTTTCATAAACACACAGTGTTCTGGAGGGCTGAGGCCTAAATGTACTTACTGTTGGATGCAGATGTTACAGAGGATAAAGTACCCTGCAAGGTACAATTATAGAATAATCTGCTCAAAGAGGCAATTTCTTCCTATCTCCATGAGCTAGTAGTTGGCTTATACCCTGGACTGTGAGGGTTCACATGCCTAGTTTGTTTTTATAAAACTATTATTATTGTTATTATTGCCTGGATAATATGTGTTTAGAAAGTGCCCTTATGTTTATGCCATTTTTATCTTTAAAATATGCCACACTCAAATTCGTATGAATTCCAAAGAGCAACAGTTGTTATCATTGCATGCCATTAATTTGTTAAAGTAGTGGAAAAAGCACAAATAAGTGGACCTGTATAATGATGAGCTTTTAATTTTTTTAACGTGCTATCGGTGTTAATTTCTGTGTGCCTGCAATGTTTGTGTTCAGTGTAACTGAACAATAGAACTTTGTTTTTGTTCTTTGTGTGAATTAAAAACATCTGTTCTCTTTATATGAAAAGTTGTTTTTTAAAAGAAGCTGGTCTGATCTAACTAAATACCAATGCTGTGTCCACAATGAGTTACTATTAATATTTGGGAAAGGCAACCATCCAAAGCAAGTGTAATGTCAAATTACTGGCGGGAGTGCATATTTATTGCTAGAAGTGACAGATAAAAATGCAGAGGTTACAAAAACAAAATTCTTGTAGATGACTAATGATGCATATATATGGCCCCAATGCCCCATCACCACATTTACAATTTGTGGGGTGTTCATTCTTGCTTGTTACTCCCTGGGATTAATTGAAAAGAGGCTAGTAACTTGTCACCCTCCATGGAGAAGTGACTCTGCCCTCACCTTCTCTCTAGTAGACCCTGAATAGAGTGATCTTCAGGGAGGGTTGGAATCTATCTAAGCCATTTATTTAATTTGTCTGACTTTTCCCCCACCTTGCTCTGGTATTGAGTGATCTTCAGGGAGGGTTGGAATCTAAGCCATTTATTTAATTTGTCTGGCTTTTCCCCCACCTTGCTCTGGTATTTAATTGCATAGGTTTATTTTCTGACCAATAAAGGTATGTGGCAGTGGTGGAGCACCCAGTGTATGCTCTTACAGTGCCTGTAATGCCAGCGTGATGGTTGTCCTCTGAGTTGTCTATAAAGTCTTGGTATGAATCATTTGGCAGCCTAAGAATGGAACTGTCATCTTTCTCCTGATGAGTAGTGCTGTATTGAGCAGTAGTTTTGCTGAGGTAGATGGCTATTTC